ACTTCTTTGGAAATTCTAATTGATGATTCAACGTAGCATGTACAAATGTATGATTATATAAAGCCATCATTTCTGTGAAAAATTGAGAAAATGTGCTATTTGGCAATTTGGTGAGATCACAGCAGACCCTCAGATACTCTCACCCAACGCCGCCATATGTCTTTGTATACAAACACCTGAAAAACTTTTATACCAAAATAGCTAACTTTTTTGTTTTTATTTTGTAAAAATAATTTATTCTATCAGCACTAGTGAAAAGTAATGGTTCAATGAGTAAATATTGACTTAAGGCACATAGCCGAGCAGTTTTCTAACTCTCTGAGAACATATGTGTAACAAGATGGAGAGCCATCTGTTTTTCTGAAGATAGGTTAAGCCAATATATTCAGTTTGAGACACTGCTATATATACACACCCAAATTACTACATTCATCTATGATTTTTTTTTTAAAGCCCAACTTACAAATGCTTTCAGCCTGGCATATAAGCCTTATCCAGAACTCATCACAGGTTTGCAAGAGTTTATGTTTTACTTAGGATTCAAATTAATGTGGAGATCTTAAGCCTCCCCTCAGAGAAGCAATGAAAACAATCATGAGCAACTTTTGTCACCCCAAGTTTAGAAGGCAGGACAGACGTACCTCCCTTACCAAGCCATGTTACAAAAGGGGAAAAAGAATGACTCTAATGATGGTAAACCAACTTTATCTTTAATTTAATGTTTTTAAGAACTGTGGTTTCCCATAGTTGTTCAATCATTGCCTGCTTAAGAAAAATGTGAACTTGGACTAATGGAGGCTGAACACACCCTTAGAGAATCTCATAATATATGACACATGACCCAAATGTGAGAGAGGTAAGGGAGTTTCAAATTTCCACAATATCTATAGAAAAAAAGTTGATGACTATATGCCAAGAATAATAAAATTGTACTCAAGTGAGAATAGTTGGAACTACATTAAGTTAATTAGACAAATCTATACTGGGAAAGGAGGAGTTTCATGGGTAAAAATAAATTTGAGCTTATGTTCTTGGAAAAATTCACATAAATATTTGAAAAAAAAACAGATTTGGTACAAGAAGAAGATGCAAAATATGTTAAAATTTTAAATTAACTTAATTTTCAAAAAATTGGTAAATATGTAGAATATCTACTAGAGCTATTTTCTCAAGAATCAAATAATTACCTCAAATGGGACTAAGGGTGAATTTTAAATGTGGAGAGATACAATTGTGAGAAACTACACCAGCAGAGGGAGCTTAATATATCTTGTCAGTAAATAGACATTGAAGACAGTTAATGTCTTTGTTAAGCAGAGATATACAGATTGGGAGAATTATTTAGTTTTATTTTAGATATGAGATCTCAGATGCAAAGATATTTATTAATGATTGCAGGTCCTTTGAAATTCAATCTTCTCAATTTTATTTTATTTATATTTATTTTATTTATATTTATTTTATTTATATTTATTAATGATTGCAGGTCATTTGAAATTCAATCTTCTCAATTTTAATTGTATTGTAAAACCAAAAGTAAACTATATCAGTATAAGGAATGTAAATATTTTAAAAATACATAAATGCTTCCATAAAAATAAATTAATTTAAACAATGTCACAGCAAATAAAATAATGGGACCAAGTTTACTTGCAGAGCTATGATGTAGAAAATATGAATAAAATACATCAACTTAATTAAGTGGTAAGAAAATATTTTATGAATCTTAAGATATTAAATTAGTAAGTTTTAATTTTATTCATTCTTATGTATATGGACACCATGTTGCAGCTCTTCCATCTGATGCCATTAAAAATTTTACAAATATTGAATCTGATTACATGAATAGAAATAGTATCACCTGTTTAAAAGTTTAGAAGACTAAAAAGAGAGATATCAAAGAAGACACAGTAAATTTTATAATAATTAATCTCTGAGGTGTTTGATTAATGCTTATTGATGCTACTTGTGACCCAGAAGAGGAAAGGGATAAATGCTAAAAATGGTTTCAAAAAATACATTACGATGGGGTGCCTGGGTGGCTCAGTTGGTTGGGCATCCAACTTCAGCTCAGGTCATGATCTCATGGTTTGTGGGCTTGGAGCCTGCTTCAGATTCCGTGTCTCCTTCTCTCGCTACCCCTCTCCTGCTCACGCTTTGTCTCTCTGTTTCTCTCTCAAAAATAAACATTAAATCATTTTTAAAAAATACATTATGATGGAATATGTGGGAATTGAAAGGATTTCTATGTTACAGAAGGGAAATAAAACTGAGTAAGAGTCACTGTGGGAGTGTATGTATAATATTCTGCAAGTTTTTATGTAATATTATTTTATAAAGGAAGTCTAAAATTATTAAAGATGAGAAATTTAGCTGGTGTCGTCACCCTGTAGATTGTGTGCTATAACCATTTATGGCAGGCTGATGAATTATGCTATAAAAAGCAAAGACCTTCAGGAACCTGACAATCTTTCAGGTTTAATGAGAAGGAAATCTGGCCATGTCTTCTTTTTTCCAAGTCTCTTCCTCCATCCCACAAAGACAAGTAAGGCTGTAAGTCTTTCCAACTATTGCTGCTGAAAGTATTTTGTGGAAGCAATCTTGCAGAAGAGAAAGTATAAACATATTTTTAGGCTTTCGAGATTGTACAGTATGTATGGCAGCGATTAAAAAGAAAGGTTGCCAGGGCTAGAAATACAATTTGGAAAGTCTAAGCAGAAAAAAGCCAGTAGAGATTCCTTCATCTTTAAATATGATTTGGACTAAGAATGTACTGTAGAGGAAAAAAAATTTCCCCCCAAAATGTGTCTCTTCGGCACATGGATTATTTTAGGTTGATTATTTTTAAGAAACAGAAGACTCAACGGAGAGCCTGGGTGATTCAGTCAGTTAAGCACTCAGCTCTTGGTCTCAGCTCAGGTCATGGTCTCACACTTCGTGGGATCGACCCCTGCATCAGGCTCTGTGCTGACAGTATGGTGCCTGCTTGGGATTATCTCTCTTCCTCACTCTGTCCCTCTTCCCCACCCCCAAGTAAATTTAAAAAAAAAAAGTTTAAAAAAACCCCAGAGGACTCAGGAAGTTTCTCTTTTTGCCAACTGCCTAAAAGATTTAGACAGAGGACCTGTTCCAGGAAGGGAGCTAGCACCATAGATAACTATAGTTATAATATGAACTAGGTCTGGTAGACAGGTAGGAGCCCTAGCAAGGCCTATTGGATTAAAGTCCTCTCAATGTCCCATTGTTTCTGAGTGGCCCAGCAGACACTTGTTTACCAAACATTTACTCTTTTTCACCTTCCTGTGAATTGCTGTCCTTCCCTTTGAAGTCCCAGACTCCTACCGCCTTCTCCTTAGTTTAGGATGACATATATACCTCATTTTGCCTGACTATCTTTGAAATCCCTTATGTTCATGCGAAGTCTTCATATGTATGTTATTATATTTAATTTTCTCCTGTTAATTGTCTCATGTTGACTTAATTCCTAAACCAGTCAAAAGATTCTTGAAGGGTAGAGGAAAATTATTCTCCCCAGTAGTACAAATGCAGGATATAAATCAGGACAAAATATTCAATGAAAACCCAGAATATGTCAAAGCTTAAAACAGGATCATAGTCATTTTAGAGTCAGAATTGCACCAGAACCACACTGTGCTTATGCAAGAAAATTATACTCATTTTCTCTGTGTTTACACACACATACCTTCATGTGAATTTATATACGGTAGTGAAGATAATTCTATATAATGCCCAAATAAGTGAGTTAAGTTCTTCTTCACCGATGCTTTTATTGTAATTATATTATATTGAGTTTGGTAAACCACAGAGATGCCACTAAATGACTAAATATTGCATACATGAGGGGAAAAAAAGATGCCTAAGTAAAGTCTCTTCCTGTTGAGATAGATCCTCTATGCGCACGCACACACACACGCACACACACACACACACACACACACACACACACACACACACACACACCTGTATATCCACCCGTAATAATTCGCATATTAGATTATTTATTCTTAGAAAATTTGCTATCAAGTCATTCTGAGATACGTAAAATGAACATAGTTCTCTACTTACTTAATAATGGTTTTGGAAGCTAATAAATTTTTAAGTATTTTACATCCTATTTTAGCTAACATCAACTTTGAAAATTAATGCAAATTATACTTGCTAAATTTAGGAATGGATTATAATTCTAGGTAATTTAAGAACCACCATACATAGTTTAAATTAGAAAAAAAATTGCCTGCTAGACAATTTTACAGATATGAGTGGCTCATAAGTCTGTCTCTGCATTTTAGTTTTGCTAAAATGCACAACAAAAGCTTCAGGGTAAGGTAGAGATACAACAGGGTAAGGTAGAGATACAACATGATCGTTAGAGAATGTTATAAAATTCAAATCAGAATAAATTTGGTCTGTAATGATAATTGTTTTGGCTTTAATAACTTCATTATATAAAATGTTCTCAACTACATAGTTCTCAACAGAAGTCTCTGTTCAAAGTGTTTCAATAAATTAAGGCAGATACCACAATTCACAAAACATTTATAATGTTTGAGCAAATACTATATTCATTTGGAAAAGTAACCAAATAAAGACTCAAAATAATATTATAAACACATTTTAAGTACACAGAATAATTGAACATGAAATTATTTACTTCTATGTTTATGTCTGGTTTATAAAGAGTATTGAAAAGAAATGGTTTATATGGTAAAATTTTAGTTTTACTTTGAGATTTAATATTTAATTACCAAAATGGGAAAAAACATTCTTGGTTTTATTTACATTTTCTTTACTATACCATCTCTAAATGAAACATTATTGCCTGCAGTTGATTACAGTTTAGTTATACCATTAATTTTATTTTTTTAAATATCATTACATTAATTTTGGCTTTAAATTACATAACACTAGCAGAAAATGTGCCATTAATGTAATTACAAAATACTCCAGTGTGAAACTTGTTACAGAGTAAACATGCCTACCATTGTCGTCTCAGCGATAGAGCCAAAGCTGTTTATGAATATGTTGCATGTGACATTAACAGGAGGGCCTGAAAGAGATTAAAACATAAAGACTATTTAGATACTCATCTAAAATATTTTTAAATAATTCCATGCTTTTCATTATCAGTTTTTTTAAAAAAAGGAATATATATATTTTATATCTGCGTACACACAGATGCATAAAATTGAAAGCAATCACTCTGTGAAATAATCTGAATTGAAAATCACAAATTCATAGTCTCCTTTGAACACTGAGGCTGGCCATTATATAAGTCTTCAATCTCATTTGGTCTTGATATCTCTAATGGCTTTGTAAATGTCTGATTTGGTAAGTCCAACATTTGAGCTCCTTTAGGCTGTTCCTATTGATTTTTTCCTCCCAGTATGGGCCCTATTTTTCTGTTTCTTTTCATGCTACATATTTTTGTTGTTGTTGTTAAAAATTGGATACATTAAATAATGCAATGTGGCAACCCTGGAAACCAGACCTCCCACTTGCAAAGCCCAGTTGTTGTTACTGGTGTTTATTATTGTTGTTTGTTGTTTAGTGACTTTCCTGGACTAATAGTCTGTATTTCCCCACAGTGTGCAGCCACTGAGGATTCTGTATCACACAGCGTTAGGCAGCTGCAGTGTTAAAACAGTTTCTTATGATCATTTTCTTTTCTTTCTTCTTTCTTTTTCTCTTTCTTTCTTTCTTTCTTTCTTTCTTTCTTTCTTTCTTTTCTTCTTTCTTTCTTTTCTTCTTTCTTTCTTTCTTTCTTTCTTTTTCTTTCTTTCTTTTTCTTTCTTTCTTTTGAGAGCGCATGTGCAAGAGAGCATGCAGGGGAGGCAACAAGGAGGGAACAAGGGCAGGGGCAGGGGAGGGGCAGAGAGAGAATTCAGCTCTAAGGACCCTGAGATCAGGACTCTGAGATCAGGACCCTGAGATCACTACCTCAGCCAAAATCAAGAGTCATCAGCTTAAAGGACTGAGCCACCCAGGTGCCCCTTTTGTGATCACTTTTGTGATCATTTTTAATAAATGCCCTGGGATAGGATTTTCCCACTGAGGGAGTTCCCAGTCAAAGCCAAATAATGATAAGCCATCTGAGTGGTACTTTTCTAGGGAGCAGGCCAGATAAAAATAACATAGCTCTAGGGGTGGACTTTGATACCTGCTAGGCTCTGGATTGTAAGCTTCTGTGGTTGAGAGGCTGCTGGTTTTCAAGGCTACCAGGAGCTCAGGAGGGGAGCCATATTTACATGCCCTGTTTTTAGAGAAACCTATTAGTTTTACTTGAATACACATTCCTCAGTGTGTTGCAAGCTTTTCAGAGCTCCCGAAGGTTAACTTCGACAGTTTTTTTCAGTATTTTTATTGCTTTTTTTTTTGGAGGAGTGAATTTATAGAAAACATCATTCTGCCATTCCAGAAGTCCCCTGTAAGTGCGTTTAGCATTCATCATAAAAACCAATAATTTTTGTTTTTCTGAGATCCATTTATTCATTAATTTACTAAATATTCACAAATTGTGTACACCAAATTGCAGAAAACACAACGAGATTATCATCTAGCAGGGCAGAAGGAATAAGATCTCATAAATTGTTTAGTACTTCATGTACTAAACATGTGTTGTGCTGATTCATAGATACCACTTAATCCATATAACACTGCAAATGGGTAATATTACACCACTTATCAAGAAAGGAATTAAAGTTCAGAGAGGACACATAAGGTGCTAATGAATAGCATAGTTAGAATTGGAACCACTAGTCTGATTCTAGGAGTCATTTTTTCCCATCATATCAAGTTGTACCATGACCTTCACATAACATTACATCCCAAGGATTCCATTATCTAGCTACAGACTTTATTATTAGGCTGATAGATATATAAATCAGCAACACTGAAATATTATGTGGTAAGGGTTAAAATAACTCCGAGTTAAATTCTACCTACTAGTCAGATAATGCCACACACAAAAACTAATATATAAGCCTTAGCTAAGATGCCTGCCCTTTGCCCTATACCTCTATGTCCCCTTCGCTAGAGATAATCACTCCAACTTATATAATAGATTCTTTGGGGATTTACCTAATTTTCTCTAAATAATGAACTTATTTTGCTACTTTTAGATGCTCCCATTTTAAGCATATATTCTGATACCCACAGCAGAGGAGGATTTATTTAGCTTTCTTTCAAGCCATTATCACCACCTCCACTAACATAAACCTCTTTTTTTATCCTCCTAGTACACAGATATGGTTACACTGCCATTGTTGTTAGATTAGTATTCACTTTTTACATTATGACAAGGTAAATATTATTTCCAACCAAGCCATGCAATAAATTACGATTACTTTTCTTTCACGGTAAGCACTTTCTTGAGGTTGATAAACTCTTTATGTATTTCACATAGTTTCTTCCATATGTATCATTAACCTACCCAGAAGTTCTGAAATGTCTGAATTATGTTTCAATGTCAGACTCATCAGATATTTTATTAGCTTTATCTTCCTTTGGATATATTCCAAAATTAGATTTTTTTTTTTTTTTTTTTTTTTTTTTTTTTTTTTTTTTTTTTTGCTCTGGAGCATAGCAGCCATCTTATGACCTCCCATAATCATTATACTGGGGTTTACTTCCATCTCTTTTCTGTCAGATTGCCTTTCATGGTCCCTGACTTTCCTTTTTACTTGGCTTATTTCTTAATTTTAGTAGAATAAATCCTTTAGGAATTTTTTGAGAAATGATGCATAAGGATGTGAAGCTTTTGAGAATTCACTTGTTCACAATTCTTTTAATGTCCTTTTAATTTATTTATTTACTATTTTTTAATGTTTATTTATCTTTGAGAGAGACAGAGACAGAGCATGAGGGGGGGAGGAGCAGAGAGAGAGAGGGAGACACAGAATCTGAAGCAGGCTTCAGCTTCTGAGCTGTCAGCACAGAGCCCAACTCAGGGCTTGAACCCAGGCACCACAAGATCATGACCTGAGCTGAAGTTGGAAGTTCAACTGACTGAGCCACCCAGGCACCCCTAAATGTCCTTTTAACATCTAAATTTGGTAGAAAACTTTAGGTTCAAAAAATTTTTTTTTCTCAATTTCAAAGACATTTCTCTTTTATTTTTATTTTCTTGCATTGCTGTTAAAAATTCCAAAGCCATGGGGCGTCTGGGTGGCTCAGTCGGTTGAGCGGCCGACTTCGGCTCAGGTCATGATCTCGTGGTCCGTGAGTTCGAGCCCCACGTCGGGCTCTGTGCTGACAGCTCAGAGCCTGGAACCTGTTTCAGATTCTGTGTCTCCCTCTCTCTGTGACCCTCCCCCGTTCATGCTCTGTCTCAAAAATAAATAAACATTAAAAAAAATTTAAAAAAAAATTTCCAAAGCCATTCTGATTCTTGATCCTTTGTAAAGATAAAAAGGAGTCTCTTTGTACCAATATTAAAAATAATTAATAATAATAATAAAAATAAAACAAAACAATGTTTCATTAGTCAGAATAGTTTAAAATCATTTGTGGTTTCAGTTCACATTTTCTTGATTTCTGGTGCACAATTCTCATCTTTGTTTTTCTACTCAATTTCTGATAGCCATACGTCCTGCTGGAAGAAAGTAGAGGAAAAAAACCCCACAAAATTATTCAAAACTGACATCTACAATCCATAAGCCAATGGATCCTATGCACATTGGAATCATATGAGGATGTTTAAAAAAGACGGATACCTGAATTTTACCTGGATGCTATGGCATGCAACCAGAGCATTGATATTTTTAAAAGCTCCCCAGATGATTCAGATGTGCAGTGATGCTGGGAACCACTCAGGAATTCCAGACTAGAAAACATCTGTGCCCATTATATCGCAGTGCTAAAAATGAACCGAGATTTTTCTAGAGGTGAAGAAATAGAGAGATGGGTGTCAGGACTTAGAACAAGGCCTTGAAAATGCAAGGCCACTGATATTGATAAGAGAGTTGCCTATTTTAAGTTTGGTCACCAATGCTACTAAAACAAGTAGATGCTGTGCAGTTAGAAACAGACCAAAGCCTATTGAGCATCAAGATGTGTAGAACATAAAATTAAACAGGTAGAGAAGGTAAACTGTTTTCAATATGAAGGATGGATGTTTAAGAACAAGAAAACTTTGGGGCCTTGAGTGGCTTAGTTGGTTGAGCGAGCAATTCTTGATTTTAGCTCAAGTCGTGATCTCAGAGTCGTTAAGATTGAGCCCCCGAGTCTGCTTAAGATATTCTTTCCCCCCACCCTCTCTCTCTCTGGTCCTCTCTCCTGTTTGTACACTCTGTCTATAAAATTAAAACCAAAAATTAAAAACAAGCAGAAAACCCTATGAAAATCCTGAATCCTGGAGGTGCTATAATTATTTGACTATTAGTGAGAAGTTCTTTTTAATATTTCTTTGTCATTTTTAATATTTACAAATTTGTAAGATGGTAAGGGTGTCTTATATGTCACTATGTGAGAGAGGAGAAAACACGAATCTTTTACTTCATGAACATTTTATCCCATCTCAAGAGAAGCGTGAAGTCACAATTAACTGATAGATTTTTTTTTTTTTGACTTATGTAAGTCTAAGGTATTGAACTCTAAACTATGTACACAGAGTATCTGGAATATTGAAAAAAAACAATCTTTCATATTTTCTAGGTTATTCTGTGTTTTCTAAAGAATGCTGAAATTCTATTATTTTCTTTTGCTGTTAACAGTACTATGAATCTGGGGAATATCGTTTAGCCTGGAATAAATTTTCTTGGGCTCTGTTGACTCACAGCCTTTGGAAGATGGAAAACACAGGGCATTGGTATTGGGTTAATTCATCTTTCAATAAAATGCTGATGGAAGTACATCCATGTTGGGGGAACAGCTGTCACTGTAAGGCTGCCTGCTCCATCTGACTGTGAACTCTTTGGCTGAAATTGTAATAAATAAAACATACAGCGGTGGGGGGCAGGGCAGTGGTGGTGATTCTTCTTATTTTAATCTAGCAAGAGGCAGGGTCTTTGTTTTTTTGACTTTTATTTAATTTCTCTTTGGGCATTGAAT